GCTGATTAAGTTCTGAAACTTTTTTGGACATCTCATCAATCGCTACTTCAATAGGGTTCAGTTCTGTGCTTGTTTGGCTTATAACTTGAATGCGCTTCTTCACATAAGGAAATAAGTGACTGGCTGCTCAAAAACAAATGTAAAACATTCAGAGAAATCCCCCCACCACAAACTGCTAATTAAAGAGGCAGAAGTAGTGAGTCTAGGCTGTTTTGGGCCACCTTGACTATTTCATTTTACAAACATCTTTGCTGACTCAAGTAAATTGACACATCTAATCACCACATATGTACAGTGGGTCCAAACAGAATTTTTGATGCAACTGTTATTAACAAATCACTCTGTTTTGAATCATAGCACTGTTCATTGTGTAGTTTTTTCACATCCTTATAGTATAAGACTCTACACTTTAAGATTTTGAAATTCACACATTTCTGTGCTGCGTTAAGGCCCTCATCAGTTCACAAGCCTAAGTTTAACTTGGAGTACCTCCACAGACCCACTGAATTCGATTAGAATACACCCATGCTGGAGGCATGTGCCTTAATGCTTTGTTGAACTGATGCCTCATTCTCCTACAAAGCATAATTTTCATGCTTCTAGCTTTGACCTGGTTCCATCCCCAGCCAAGATTTACAGAGCCAATGTTCCTTTTGTAGGTTGAAACAGACCCCCAACACTCGAATCAGTGGACTATACTTGCTCTGATTACCTGGTGGTTTTACCCCAATTTAGTGTGCTTTTGCTGATGCTCCTTTTCATTGCTGCACTAGTTTTCTTTTTGTAGCCTCTAGACATTTCATTTTTACAGCTATAACTTATACAAGTGTAAAATCTTATAAAATGCATTATATGGCAACTACTTGTACACATTGGGTATGTCTACACATTCATGAATGTGCCATAGTTACTGTGCATTAAGTTTAATACTTGTATAACCAAGTACTAAATTAATGCACAGTAACTGGAACTACTGTGCAGTAGCACCAGCACACGACTTTTTAGTGATTCTAACTGTGCAGTAGCCTAATACTACTGCACAGTAGTGCATTAGCATGGTTTTTGCCCTGCACGCTACTGCACAGTAAAAGTAGGCTACTGTGCAGTTAGCGTCTTGTGTAGACACCCCATTGTTTCCAAGAAAACAAGATGATGCAGTGAATGGATAAGGAGAAATGGATGAGGGTGGGTAGATTGGGAAAAAGGATAATGTTCCTGCCAACAGCAGGGAACTGAGGCTGGCTCAGTGCTAACATAGCTATTTCATATAAAAGATGCTATGTGTCAGGTATTCTTTTCTCCCTCCGCAGGACAAAAATTGAGGTGATTTAAGTCAGTTCTGTAAGAGGGTTTCTTAATTTGACCCTTTGGGGAAATACAGACACTCCAATCAGCAGTGATCTAAATTCTCTGTCATTCTGGAGCCGTTGGAATATCAGCATCTCTGTTCATATCTACCCATGAAAACAAAGCTTCTCAAATGATATTCAGAAATCTCTTAGAGACACAGCTAAAATTTCAGCTATGTCAATTTTCTGTAGTCATGTCATGGATCCTCTATTACTTTTTTTTTAAGAAGAGAATTTAATTATGATAAAGAGCTAACCATTTAGCATCTCAGTTTAATTCAACAGGAATTGACACTTTCAATGCTTTTTCCTTTCCTTAAACAGGAATTTTGTAATGTATCTGATTGCTTGAAATAAAGATACTATCTTACTTTTTAAAAGACTAATATATGCGTTATATGAGAATTTGTTAAAAATTGGAATATTTGCTATGATTCATTTTTCTTAATGGGTAAATCTTACAAGCCCTACATTTGCTGTCTTTAGGCTGCTTCTACTATGAAGAAAAATGAATGAGAGTTTAGAACTCATTAAACTGGTATAAATCAGGAGCAATCCTAATGAAGCCAACTTAATTACACCATTGTAAAGCTGGGGTGACAGTAGAATATTAAGAAAGAATAGAGGCAGTTGACTATTCTACAAATTTAAACAACTTTTGTTTTTGTACTGAATTGTAACTAGTTTATGTCAAAAGGATTATACATAGAAATAATGATATGGTGAAGTGGTTATTGCTCATTTAAAACTACCCTTTGCACAAAATTGTTGGCAAACAAATATATTGACTGCCATCCTGATTTTTAAGCAGAACAGTCTTTGAAATTCTTAGCAGTTTCATTTAGTTAGAACTCTTCAAATAAAAAAGGCAGCAACGTACTTGTCAAGATTGTCCGTCTTTTGCATTGCTCCTCTACCCCTCCATGTTTTTTTCCTGACAGTGTGAAAGGTGTTTCAAATACAAAACGGTTGATGTTGTGATGCATTTCAAAGTCAGTTTTTCTGTCCTCAGCTTCCTTCTCTTCAAAGAAAGGTGTGACGTATGTGACCTGGATATAGGCATATTTTGGATCCAAGTCTTTGGGATTGACCTGTGTTAAAATTGTTACATGTAAGGAAACTCTCTCTGACTTCGTTGCACTGCAAATTATACAGTGAGTAATCACAGTTTACAGGCATACTCTTTTATGATACTATAACATGATCAACCCAGGACATGATTTCAAAAGTACTATTAGGTAACAAATACCTAAATATCTAAGTACGGGGTTTGATTTCCAAAGACAACAAGAGTTCTGAGTACACCATGATGGCAAAAATTGGATGAGGGTTGAATGAAGTAGAGACGAAACAGCCAAATTTTCCTTTATACTAGTAGAATATATTTGTGGGCTAGGTATTGTTAAAAACGGTTACACAGAGGGATGTTCTGCTTCCATTGTCATTGTACCAGTAAAACCATACCTTATAATTTGGCTTGGTTTTGTTAGAAACTAGCCTATAACAGAGAGCCTGAGTCTCCCTGTTCCTTTAAAAGAAGCAGCCCAGCGAGGGAGCACTGGAGGCTAAGCAGGGTGCAGCAGCTGCAGGTCAATGAGGTTGATTAAAAGGCACCTGCAGGCAGCCCAGGCAGTCTGCTGACTGGAAGGAGGCAGGCCCCTGGGAGGATATAAGCCTGAGGCTCAGGCTAGCAGGATAGTCTTTCCCTGGCTGCCACAGGGTAAAGAGCTCCTAGCAGCAGGGCTCCTGAACGGACTGTGGTGCTGCATCTGGATCTCCGATGAGGCTATGGGAGCTCACTTGGATATAGCCCAGGGCAGGGAGGCTGTCCTAGTTGAGCCGTGAGGGAAAATTCACCCTCTTAAAGAAGCAGAAGGCTATTTCCCCTTTGTGTTTCTGTTATAGTCCAGGGACTTACGTTTAACCAGAGTTAGTGTTTCAAAGCCAGGTCTGATACAGTGGGCTCAGGCTAGAAGGCCTAGCTGAGAGGAAAGGGGCGGAAGCCAAGGAGGCTGTGGCAGCGAGATGCCCCCACAGGCTCCCGAAGGGGAGGGGTCAGTCCCCATAGGCCCCAAGCCACACAAGCAGCCCTGCCACTGGGGAAACTCACCTCCAGGGGCACAGCTGTAGCCAGAGCAGGAGCCGCGGCTGTGCGAGCCAACTGATTAATCAGCTGTTCCCCGGGCAGGGAAAAGCCGAACCAGTCACGCTGCGGGAAGATTTAAAAGCCCCACCGGGACCTGGGGGGAGGAGGGGGAGGAAGCACACTGGTGTGGAGCACGCCAGGCATGCTGAGGCTCTTGTGGGAGCAGGAGCAGTGCAGCTGGCTCAGTGCCAGCATCCAGAGCAGGGGGAGCTGAGCCCCTGTAGTAGGCTGGGGGGGAGGAGGCAGTCCCACACCCCTTTCCTCTCCAGCAGTCTATTTATTTTGGCAAAGAGCAAAGTAGAGGCGTTCCATCCAGAGGTGGCAAGGAGTATGCCAGCCTACAGAAACCCAGCTCATCAGCATCCGAGGTGGAGACACTAGCCGTTGGGACAGCCAGGCTAGCCCACCAGGACCCATGCTCACACTGGTTCCCCTGGCAAAAAGAGGTTGACTGAGCATGGTCAGACCACGCAGGTGGCATCCATCTGGTTGGCGAGTGGACGAGATGTAGGGGAGGCAGAGTCCCACGGAACATTGCGACCAGACAGTGAGTAATACTGTCCCCGGGGTCTCCCAGAAAGAAGATCTTCACTGAACCCCTCCCTTTCATTGAATAACACCAAGTCGTGGCAGGAAAGTTGGGGGGGTGGGGGGGACCACACCAGACGGAAAGTGCGTCACCCGATGCAAACCCTACTTAAGATGCCTTCTGTCACAGAGGCCAAAACCCAACAAGTGAACAACAATATGGTAACACCTGTGAGGATTGGGGCATAGCTTAGGAGAGGACTGGAGCCACACAATTATCCCCTAAGTCTTTATGTGCCTAGCAGAGCACAGTCAAATAAAGAGGCCCAATGAGGAGCCTTGGAACTCCAGTGGGAGTCCAGCTGGATTGGGGCCATCTGAAGGCCTGTGGGCAGCGTCCCCATTATCATTATTATATTATACCATCAAGGTGAGGCAGACGGGAAGGGAAGGCACTCTAGGGGCAGAGCGGGGCATGGTCATGGAGCCACCAGGGGGCATCCCAGCCACCCCTTGGACCCTGACATACTACATAGTCCACAGTAGTTCCAGCCCCTGCTCACATCAATCAGAGGCTCATTCTAGATAATATAAATGTTATCACAACTCACTTAGAAAAGAACACCAATATACTGCATAATAGAAGTCCACAATACACACATATATTTCAGCTTAAGGTTAAAAGGAGAACAGGGACCAACTATGGGCTCTGCAGGCTTATCTAATCTGTGAAGGCACTATGCTAGAAAGTGAAATGTGGCATACTTTCAAGTGTTCTACTTTGACATGGATGTAATGAAAGCATTTCTTCCATACCTTATTGGAATCCTGAATTATTTTCACATTATCTGCTCCAAATTTATCAGCGTAAAGTTTCAATAGTCTCTGAGAAATCTCAGACAGGCCAGTTAACTTGGGTTCTTTGTAGATATACTCTTTGCCTTCCTCTTCTTCAAAAAAGCCCTGTAGAAAATCAAGAGGAAACAATTAATCAGTGTAGCAGGTATGGTAAATTAAATGTAAACGGTAAACAACAGGTATAGACATACCAGTGTAATGCATCTAACTGTTTAAATGCACAACTCATTGATTATTTTTCTGAATACTACACTATGAGACTGATGAAGGAATCCAAAATATCAAATGCATTCCATATTAGAGATATAATTAATTAAAATTGTAATTAGCTTGATACAGCTATTTGTGAAATACGATGGTTATTAGTTTTCTACTTGTTTGCCTGCTTTTATTTAGATATGTGAAGAGAGTGCCATCGTGTGGTACATAGTAGGTATAATTTGCAGATGACTGCAAAATAGTGGTAGTTCTTGCATTCACATGAAAAACTGTTATCATTCAGCCCAAGTCCTTCAAGCAACCTGAGCAGAAGATTTAACATGTAGAGCAACTTCAAATAAACTGATCTGTATCTCATTCAAATAAACAGAATATTCTTCAATAACTTTGAAAGCCAATAACAAATTGCAGTATCTTTAAAGACAATGTAATATCTTGTACCATCTATACTTTTCCCAGAGCCTGATGAAGGGACTTTGATCCTGAAAGCTTGCAGAAAAGGCCACTTTTCTTGTGATTTCCCAGTTGGTCTAATAAAAGGTATCATTTTGGAACCAAGAGTTCTAGTTTTTGTATGTAACATAATTTACATTTGAAAAGATGGAAAAGCATAAACTATAGTCTTTTATAAGATCTACAGTCTTAGCAAAGCCATTTACTTGCAATAGTGGAAGTAGCTGAGAGTGTCTAAATAAAAATGTCTGTTAAAATGCAAGGCAAGTTTCCACCTGGCAGTTTCCATAAGAAATGTAAATCTCAGAAAATGAATGTATACAATACATCAGCTTCATGTGAAACAAACACAAACGCAATATGTAATTATGCAAACATTTTGGGGTAAATTTTTATGGCTGAATGGAACATATCACTATTAACAGTAATGGGACTTTACCTCTGACAATATTTACACTTCTGGGTTTCATTTGCAGGATTTCATACCCTGTTGATAGAACTTGGTGATGCAAATACTGAAGCTATAGCTCCCAAATGTCCCCTTTTCATTAATGAAGAACACACAATTAGTTACTGAGTCTCAATGATCTCCCCAGAGAGCACTCTTGTTAATAATATTAATAAAGTTCCATTGCCAAACAAGGAACTTTACAGACAAATTTATATCTGAGAAGTGAATATCTTGTAAACTCTTACTTGAATGAGCAATTAATTGTGTGAAAGGATTTGCAGAATCATAAACTAATTTCTAAACTCTCTCTAAATTATCCTAATGCAAAACCACTTTGTGGGAACAGAGGGAAAAGTTCCTATACTTCTATACAACCTCAACTAAACACTAATCAGGATTGTTTCAATCAAAACCATCTGCCTTATGTAAACATTGAATTTTGAAAAGATATAGTCTCTAAAATAATCTTACTCTGAACTGGGACAGCATATCAGCTTAGATGTCAACACTATACATGTTTGCTAGCAAGAGCACAGTGTTTACATGGGAACTGTTAACTTTCTGTGTTGATGTAATATGACATATTAAGATGATATCTTTCATCTTACCAAAATGATTAACCTAGAACTGATACATTTCCAATAGTCTTTAATGAAGGAGGCATTACTTGAAAGAATGGTCTCTATGGCATTTCAAATGATAAGTGATAAGTAGTAGTTAATTGAAAACTACATAATAATCCTGTCTGCCATATGTCAGATGTTTAAAAGATCATTAAGCATCAGATAAAATATTTTTGGGGGTCAAATATCCTTGAGTTTAGGGATTTTAAAATATTAAGCATCTCAGGTCCCATTCTCAATTCACAGCAATCGTTTGTTCTCATGTTGCCTATGACTGGTTTACAAGAAGGGTGTAAGCTTAGGGATGAAAAACATTGTGGTGGTCAGTAGAATATAATGACATATACAGGCACTCTCAGCATGTTAGGATAATGGTTTCCAGTAAACCCTCATTCATTTAGGATCAGATTTTAACTGACCTTAGAATGTCTGTGCAGTGCATGGAAAGCTCACGGAGCTTTTCTTTCCTCATACACTTCTGCAAGGAAGAGTTACAGTTGCAGGGAATGCAGGACTACTCCCTTCTACGTTTTCCTGGGGAAGCCCATTGTTCCAGAGGACCTGGGCTGTGGCAGATCATGGCCCAGCTTCTGTTGTGTACTGGCCTGTGAAACAGGCCATGTGGCCCAAAAACATCTGGCTGCATTTCTAAATTTGGCTGGATGAAATGGTTGAAGTATCCCCATGGACTATGGCATCAGCCAGATATTCTGGAGCAGCGGCACTCTGACAAGGCCCCAGCATGACCACTGCAGTTGGGGGATAGAAATGGTTTGATCCTACCAGATGATGAGTGTCATCTGTAAGATGCCAAGTGCCCTCATGTCCCACTGGCCTCTAGGGTGCAAAATTATTCTCTGAATACATTCAGGCTGTGGTTTCAAAGGAGAATCAGATATCTTCCACTCAAATATTCTCCTGGCTCTGCCCCAAACCTATGCGACTTTGGCAAACTCGCTTTGCCTCCATTTTGTCTCGTACTTTCTATCTCATCTATTTAGAGTATAGACCCTTTTGAGGAGATTCATGGGTGTTTGTATAGTACTGAGCCCAGTGTAGTTCAGACTCTGATTGGAGTTTGTAGGCAACACTACAACGTAAGCATATAATGGTAATAGGCAAAACTGCATATTGATCTCCCAGATAAACGTGGTGTTAAGAAGTGAATACTACCCTGAAGCCTGGCAGGAAACAAAATTAATGTAATTTTCCTTCTCTGAGGTTCAGATTTTGACTTTTACTTCGAGATGGTATAGGCTGCTTTGCTCATTATATATCCAGGCCACTCTACAGGGCATCCATGGGGATGGGCACAGCCTCATTTGTTTTAGGACACATAGGAGGAACATTCCCTGTACTAGCCTGATTGTGACTGGACCTTGTGTGAGTCTCATGAAATTTATAATGCCCTTTTAGGCTGTTCACACATATAAGGGTAAAAAATAATCTAAATCCACACTCTCTAACAGCTGTATGTAATCCTTGTTGTACTGCATAATTCAGACAGCATAATTCTGCCTTTCTTTTAAAAAGTGAATGAACAGAATGGAATTTAAAATGGATTTACTGAGCAGTATAAAGATACTTGAGGTCTGGGATTTCTCTGTTAAATAATTCACTGAACCATTACAGAGTCAGCAGCCAAATGACTAGTATCTATGGAGGGGTTACTGGTAAATAATCCTAGTAAGTATTGAACCAGGTCTAAGAAAAGAGCAAGAGAATCCCTCTATGCATCTATAATACAGTCATTACCAAGATTTGGAGGAGCCAGGCACTTAAGTCATTTAAAACAGTTTTGATAGAATGAAGCTTTCCTTCCCACCTTTGACTTCATCACTTGCCCCAATAACAGAAATTGCTATTTTATTTTTTGTTTCCTTCAAAAGGTATTGACAGACATAAGGAGTCTGACAGTTGCCCTGGCACTGGGAAGGCTTGGCATCTAACCTCCACAAGGAATTAGACCTTGGATTCCATCAGCTTCAGTTTCCTCACTTGAGCAGTCCAGTCTCTCAAAACAAGTGCTAGAGGAGGAGACAATCTTCAAAATCTTAGCTGGAAAGTAGTACAAGCTTTGAGAAGCAGCATCCTTCAGCAACTTTTGTGCAGGCCAGCCTGCACAAGACAAAGCACCAGTGCAGACTGGAAAGTGCAGAGAAAGTGTCAGCTGCACTGGACTTGCAGAACGCCATACAGAATCCTGGCCTGTGCATGAAGAACTGGGAATGGTCAGGTCCAACTCCAGATTTTTCTCCTGAAGAATGGGTAGATTTGGAAAGTTTGTGGATGAATATAAGAGGACTGTGCCAGTGAAAAGCCCAACATGTATAATATAGGATCATAGGAAAGTAAGGCTGGAAGGGATTTCATGAGATTATCCAGTTCAGCCCCTACTCAAAACAGAATCATCCCTGACTAAACCATCCGAGCCAAGTATCTGTCTAAACTACTTTTGAAAATTTTCAAGGATGGAGATTCCACAATACTCTTGATAGTCACTGAAGCATGCATGCAAGAATGCACACACAAGAGCAACTGCATAGCTTGGGGTGCTCTGGCTGATAAGAAACACACAAGTTGGGTGCACTATGCTACTTCTACTTGCATGGATAGTCAAAGAACTTTTCAAAAGTGCAGAAATATTATGAAAAATACATAACTGCTTACTGCTGACTTGCACTCTACTTTAGCTCAGAACTGAGAGATTTCCCTAAATTTCAGCTAATCCAAATATTTATGCTTTTTTGAAAATTGATTTTTCACAGCATCCTTGTTGGAACTATTTCTTCAAATGGCTAACTCACAGTCGCCTTTTTGCCCAGCATTTTTGAGGTTGGGTGCCTCAGGTTTGGCACCAAGCCAAATTATTTAGGTGCAGATACTCGAAACATTGGGAAAATCAGACCACTTTTACTTGGAAAAAGTGTCCAAATATGGGTTTAAAAAATTTGGACTTGGTAGCATTCAGATATTAAGGGTATGAGTCTGTGTGTCTAAAGCATAAAAAGGAACTGTTTAGAAATTAACTTAATGTCATAGCTTCCTTTCCCTATGAAGGTCCGCAAGTACTTTTGGCAGGAAATAAATGAAAAAATCACAGGCCTCTATGGTATATAATAAAAATGGAAGTTACTGGTATGTGGGGGAAAAGGAACTGAGAGTATAATGCAAAGTATATTTTTCACACGGGAAAGAATACTGGCAAAACTCATGGAAATAGATTGTTGTTTCTCCTTCTAAACCAGGCCTTACCAAGAATTTCTTAGGGTACAATTGTTAACATGGTGCTTTGAGTATTTGTAGATATTTTGCATCCAATGATGTTCCTTAGCCTCTCAGTGATTCATATTGGATTTTCTTAGGTGAGTGACAACTTCCCATCGGGACTTTTGTTTTTGTGTACCTACCTTTAATTATCTCATCACTGTTGGCAGCAGTTCAGGCCAACTCCTACCCCACAATCCGAAACATCTTTATTTCCAAACTGTGAAACTAAACATCATTCTTTAAAGCCGCACATTCTTGTCTGTGTGTGCGTGTGTTTAGACTCTATTAAGGGTGTACCAGTGATTAATCCAAGCAATATTTGTTTGTGAAACATTCATACACTTTTATAGCACTAAGGCTGTTTAAGATAGGCTGCCTTTGTTATATTTGCTACAGAAATACCATTGGATTGAAATGGGACTTTTAATTCTGTCCGACAGAGCTAGTGAAACTCAGCTTAACCACTGTTTAGATCCTTATGGCTCAGCCTTAGGGAAAAGTAGATGCATTTGCCCCAGGAAAAGAGTCACAATTCCTACCCTGCTCCCCTCTTTCTTATGGGAAGGCAGGACATAGTAAGAGAACTTCAGTCTGTTTTCAGGTTCATCTTACTTTCCCTCTAGCATGCAGCCATTTCAGTTTTGTTGAGGAGTCAGACCTTGGTCCTTCCCCCCTCACTCCCCCTTTCATTTGCCTCCCCCAGGGAGTGTTGGGCCAGCAGCCCTGCTCGCCTCATGCTGTCTCAGTAGGTCCCATGTTGCTGAGGAGATAACTTGGGACCTTACTCCTTTGCACAATCCTAGGGCATGATCTTGCACTTAAAACAGCATTGGTGCTACAATGACATTTCAACAGAAGAAACAAGGGGCCCAATCCTGCTCCCAATGAAGTCCTCCGGCAGAGGATTGGGCCCCAATTTATATATGCAGCAGGATGATGGATACACTGTTTTAACTCAGGGAAACTAAACAAACAAAAATTAGTCTGCAAGATGCAGTGATGCATGAATGTTATTTCATCTGCCACAAAACTGAACAGTGAAGAGCACAAAAAGTTAACATCAAGTAAACTGTGGGGAAGGAGTAAGGATGAGTGAGAAGAATAAAACAAAGCATGCAAAAGAACAGAGAACTTACCACAGCCTTGAATAAGATCAAAAGAAGAAAAGAGCACATTTCTGCATTAACATCTTAGCAAACAGAATGAGTCATATCAATCTGTTGTTTACACACCTTATTATTAGAGCGATGGCAATTGTATGCTTGCCAAACATGTCTTAAAAGAACATGCGGGCATCCCACAATCGCTTGCAGTGGGAAAAAAAGCATAAATTCATGCTATAGGGGTTGATTTAAACATGCTGAAGCGTAGTATATGGAATAAAACTACTGTACGGTATACTGCATAGAATCAGAGGTTGACAGAAAGCAAGTCAGAAAGTCAGCAAGAAATGCAACAACTAGCTGAATGTATTGCTCTGATTTATACTGCTTACAAAGACGGGCCAAACACCATTTCTTTTCAGGTTTTATTAATATTTTACTCACACAGCACTTCACTGATTTTGACTTCAAGGTCAGTTTTTCCTGAGTAAGGCATGTAAAAAAGCTGAGGTGCTAGTTCTGTTCCCAATTACAGACATACAAATTCACAGCAACAATTTACACAGATGTAGCTGAATGCGCTCTTTAGTAAAGACTTCAATATTTGGCCAATGCTGTTTCTAATGAGCTGTCCATTATACTGCTTTTCCTATTTTAGATTTCTAAGAAATGTGTGTCCAGAATGACATGGGTGGGGTATGTGACTCTGCATCTATAAAGTCTTTAAGGCTGACTTACCTGTCCATAAAATGCTACACGGTAATATCTTCCAAACAAACGTTTCTCAGAATTCACTACTTCTGTGACCTTCAGGTAGGATCGATGAATGTCATAGTACAGTTCTGACAGTTTCTATGGCAAAAGGATGAGAGAGAATACTTTGGAAAGTGCTTTTGGAAAGGCTTTTTAAGATCAAATTTGCTCCCCTGGGACTAAAGCCATCTGCAGATGGGCACTTATTCCATGGGAATCTTCAGTATCATTAGAAGCTATATTCTGATGTAACTTCTTAAGATGTCATTGTCAAGGCTTTTGCCTTCTTGTGGAACCAGTTTGAGGGCAAATGTAGATCACTTGCATAGCTCTACAGGGAAAGTAGAATAGTAAGAGTTTAGCTCTGTCTAAAAAGTTGCTTGGTTAGTGATTTTCCCAACCATTTCCAGGGTGCTGACAGACGTGACAGTTTGTTGTGTGATCAGCCACTGTAAGTGCTCTCCAGCTATGTACTGACAGAGGTACACAGTGGCACAAAGCTTTAAAAATGCCTGATCTTGAGACAATCTGAACCCTCAGTGCATGAGGGTTCAGATGAAAGCACTACAAAGCAGAGCACCTTCATTAACATCTGTCAGCGTGGCCAGGACCAGGGCTGGGCTGACCAGCCCAGCTCTGCTCTGTACGCTGTCTTTAGGATTGGAGGGGGGAGAATGGAGCAGAGTGAGTTCAGTCTTTTGGTTCTCCAGCCACTGCTAGAAGGTGGTGCAGGTAGTTTGGTATTCCCCACTCCCTTCCTGAGGTGGGGACTCCAATCCACCCCTTTCCCCCTCCAGACTGAACTTACTCTCCTGCCCTCCCCATCTCCCATCCTGAGAGAGCATGGGAGCTTGGAGAGGGGAGTGGAGTTAGGGAACAGACAGGCTGCATGTCTGCACTATCTCCCCTGATCAGCTCCAAATGGGAGCTGGATCCCATGCCCTCCTGATCCAACAGCAAATATCTGTTGGATCAGGAGGGTTGGTCTAACTCATGCTGCTTTCTGTTAAGCACCATGAGGTAGTCCAGGGAGCTGCACATCCGTCAGCACCAACAATGTCTACCAATCTTAAATGGATAGTGACAGTGTTACTCGGGCTTAGGGACCATGATTAAGAACACATCCTATGAGGCAAAGAACCTATGGGGCAAAAGCAGCTTTATAATATTTTTGTACCAAATTGTTCCTGGACTCATTATGGCAGTTCTGTCCCCATACAGTGCTGCAAACCAGAATCAGTCCATCAGTATTTTGCCTGCATGGAGACATTACTTCTTTGGACATTCAGCTTTTCTATAACATTGTGCTAATGCTTTAAACCCCCCAGAGAAGCTATGTTTTGCTTTGGGACCCAGCTTCTTAAATTGTGTACTATTCTGTGTGACTTTTTCCAGTTTAGAGCAGAATGACATACATTATGAGTACTTAACCTCCAGCTCGCGGGGTCTCCAAATGTCTGCAAATTTGACGGTTGGGGAGCAGTGGCAGCATTAATTGCTGCTCCTCTTCTGCTAGATTTCTGGGCTTGGGGGAGTCCAATAGGTGGATAATGGGTGACAGTGCACAGTTGGATCCATGTGCGGGGGTCAGGTCAGCACATGCCTGGATCTGGTGTGTCAGGTCAGGCCAGTATTCCCAGATGCAACACACAAGATCACACCCATTGACCATGGTCAGACACTGATGCTGTGTGATCCAGCTTGTGGACTGACTCTATACCCCTTATCCAACTCACAGGGCTGAAAGGTTGGGCACTAGTGACATAATTAATTATTAAGGTCATTTTTATACTATAAATGAAAGGAAAAAATCAAAATAAAAAAATCTATAGAGTAATTTTGAAATGAAATCCTTAATCTTAAATATTTCTAAGCTGTTTTTCTTTTTATGTACATTTAATTTCTAAAAATGTACTTTCTGATGAATACATGCAGTAGGTTCTAAGTGGTTGGTCACATGAGTTACAACATGAAGATTTGAAGAAGTATGTAGCATTGGACATAGGCTAAAGCCTCTAAATAAATCCTGGCTGAAATGTTGATGCAACTTTTTTAGGCATCAATACTGTGGTTTTCACAAGCTTTGCAGAGTCATGTGCTCCTAGTGCTGGTGAGAGGAGCAGGATTTGAAATCAAAGTTTTCCATTGATTCATAGCTCAGGTAAAGCATTGGCATTTGTTATGCAAATCTCCACAGTCTGTCTCAGCCTGACCTTGTGAGATCCCATTTATGGGATAAAGAGTAATTGCTTTTGCTATATCCATTTGATCTTTCCCCTGACCTGCAGGGCACCTGTTTATGTCTTAATCCTACAACAAACTCTCCATAGGCCAACCCACATTTGAACTCATTGCAGGTGCGGGCCTGCACAAGTGCACAAGTATTGAACAAGGTAGTTTTAATTCTATTATTAAAAGAAGCAAAACCTGACAAATTAAAACATAGTCTATAGATTTTCTACTAATGGCAAATGCTAAAGTATGGGTTTTTTCTTTAAAAAGAAATTTTCTTTTTTAAAATCAGCTTACTTTAAAGTTTCTTTGTTTCTCAAACACAGCAATGATAGGCTTGTTAACCTCAGCAATGAGTTCATATCTTTCAGATTTCCACAGGTATTCTACACATAACTCCAGCTGCTCCACAAGGATGCCCTGTAACCATGCAAATAAAAATTCCCTGGTGAGTTGTTTGTTGATTACACCTGATAGCTATAATGTGGTGAACGTACATATGCATTCTTTTAGTTTGATACGATTTTATTTTAGTACTGCCATACAAAGTTTGACAAGAGCTTAATGAAAAACATTAGGCAGCTTTTGCAATCACATGTAGAGCTAAATATAAAGACTTAAAATGATAATAACATAAACTGCAGTGTTAAAAAAATCCACAAATATTAAAAGATTCAAAAAATTACCAGGTAGTATACATCTGCAGCCTTTCTGCCTATCACTATATGCCTTCAAACTACCATAAGTTAATTAGCATCAGGCTGGTTTAGTAAATACTTGGACCTTTGAAACAATATTGGAATGATACAAGAAATGATGCTGGTGATCCAGTGAGAGGCGTCCATCCGTGACAGTGGATGAGAGATAAAATAGAGGTCCTAACCCTTTGTGGAGAAGAAGAAGAGAAACCTCTTTGTACTTCTTGCAGGGATGTTTAAATCATGGCTTCCTGGCCAGATTACTTTAAAATTACACCTTGGACGCTTCTGTGGTGTTACTGCATGCTGCCAAATGACTGCTGTATTTTACATGATGTGGGTCGGCAGGCATAGTACTGCAGAGCAAAGTGGTCCCTTGTTATAGATCAAATTTATAATGTGCACAAGTATCCTTTGGAAATAAAAGCTCGCTATAATTGCAGAACTTTATTATGTAAATGATATCACAGCTGACCTCATTGTATGGAGTATCTTGCATTCCAGAATCTTCCTTCATAGCTCCTTCTTCTTTGATATTTGGGGTTATGTTTAGAAAAGCTGGCCATCCCATGGAAAATAAGCCTTGAAGTATAAGTAATAATAACACTAATTAACATGTCCATAGCCATAGATTTGAAAAGGTATATCTCACAATTGTTAAAGAGGAGCTATTTTTATTCAGCTAGGAGATTGGTAGCCAACTTTTTGGCAGGCATGCCACAGGTTGGGGCCTCAATTAGTACACAACCCAATGGTTTGCAATGAGATTTCTTACACCATTATACATCACAATGGGTAAAATTTACAGATTCTGCCTCCTAGGCTAGAAATAGATGCCACCAAATGAAGTGGATCAGCTGTGCCAGGATGTATAGGATGTACAGGTGGAGCACACATTGCCCATTGTTCTGTTCACTGATGCTGTGGGACAATGGGTGATGTGTTCTCCCGGGATTTGAAGGGCCTGGTCCTGGACACTCCAGGAATTTCCACACAGGATTAGGCCCCTCAAGCCCTGGGAATGTCTGACCAGCTTTCCCCACTTACAGAGACCTACCTCTAGGTTCTCTGTGTCTCCGTAAGTGGGAAACCCTGACTCTCCACTTACGGAGATACAGCCTAGAGATCTTAGGGGTGTGTTTCTGTAAATGAGGGAAAGCTAAGCAGGTACTCCCAGAGTTTGAGGGGCCCAATCCTGCGTGGGAATTCTGTGGTAGGCAGGATTGGGCACCTCAAGCCCCCCGACCATCTGAAGAGCACAGGCAGCTCCAGGCTGCCAGCACTCTTGTGCCATAAAGTAAACATATGTCCATTGCTACACAGAGGCACAAATTGATACCACCTTCATTGTGGCCACCAATTTGGATCAGGTTATCTTATCCTTTTCAAAAACCCCATCTTTTTTTTTTACTCATATCAATATAGTTCATGCTGAGGGTTACTATGAAATATGTATGATAAACTAACAGAGATTAGCAGAGAAGTAATACAATTAAAAATCACCCTATGTTTTATACCTCTGCTATATTCTAAGTAAAAAAATGTAGAAGGACAATTCATGTACTGTAGATACTGGGCCTGTCTCTGCCTACTAGGACCCACAAGAGCTTTGTCATAGATATCAATAAGGGCAGTCCCATAGCTAGACTGCTTTCCCAGTGATGCAACTGATACTTGCAAGCTTCAATTAAAAGAAATTATGAAGATGTTTTAAATGGTTCTATTTAGCTCAGACTTGGTATAAATCAGACACATAACAAAATATTTCCCAATATTAATTGCTTCCTATCAAAATCATGCATCATAATTCTTTTCTCTTTTGAGAATATATTCTTTCATTATATCAGTTTAAGAGCACTAACTTGGCTTTTCCATTGTGTTATCTGACCCATAAACAGGCATGGTTAGAACACTCACTTCCTCCAGTGTGAGTTGTTAGTAACAGATTACTATCAGAGACTTGAGCATCTTCCAGGAGCATACGTGAAGTGCAAATCTTTTCCATTTTCCAGTAACCTATGGTAGTGTAAGATGTTATTAGTATACTGCTACTGGTACGTGTTAATACATGCATATCTACAAATGACACGGTAACAAATGAAGCATTCTCTTTTAAAACTAGGAAACTAAACATTCAATTTAACTTGCTTACACAAAATATGTATTTTATTATTGTGGAGTTAAGACAAGAGTATACTAGTCATACATTGAAACTGTAAACGGTTTTTGAGGAATACAAGAAGTTTTGAGGATAGTTTGAAAAGAATATTAATGTGACAACAATGAAATATGTCAACTATTTGTGTTCAGTTATATCATTTTCTAGATAAATTACTGCCTTTGAAAATGTTTACCTTACCCTTTCTTTTCAGGTATTCTGCAATGAGGGCAGCAATATGGATATAGCACATAGCAGCCTGAAACGAGACCATATGAATATATTCATGTATAGCATATATTCTATATCATCAATTTGCTGAGGGTCACAAAGATGCAGCAGCATTATCAGAATGTGGTTTGGAAAAGTTAGGCAAATTTAGCTTGACAATTTCATTAAATAATAGGTCAGATGCTAAAATCCTTATTCATGCAAAACCAGCTAATTAAACAAAATGTTTTGCCTAAATATGATTAGAGCAAATATTAAATGAGGACCTTCAAGATTTGACCTCAAGATAATATGTGTTCACTTTTAAGCAAGGTGTCGCTGGAGTAATAAGATGGAAGTTCAAATCAGCAATTAAAAACCAATAGAATTTTTGCCAAAAAAAAAATGGATTTTGTGATATGACCCAGTGCTAGAAAAGCTATAAAAAGAGTAGGAATTCCAAAGCCTTGTCTACCTTAAGAAGTTATATCAAAATTTATTTTAACAGCTGAATTAGCTGACCAGGACTTTGTGGCCAATGTAGACATGGGCAAATCATCTAGTTAAGTCCAGGTGCATAGATTCAAATACAAAATACCCAGGCATTCTTGTAATTTATTTTAGACACATGAGGGGGAATGCATGCTTCTCTTTTACCACCAAACCCTTAATAATTTTAGCCTGTATACAGCACTTGTTCATCAGTAGGTTCTAGTCTAAATACAAATAAATTCTAAGTTCATGTAAAATTTTTGATGCCAAAATGAAGATGGGCCAACAGTCTGGGGACGCGATCAGGAAGGCCAACCACACCTTGTCATGCATCCACAGATGCATCTTGAGCAGATCCAAGGAGGTGATCCTCCCCCTCTATGCGGCACTGGTCAGGCCACAGTTGGAGTACTGCGTCCAGTTCTGGGCACTGCACTTCAACAAGGATGTGGACAGCATTGGGAGGGTTCAGAGGAGGGCCACCCGCATGATTAGGGGGCAGCAGGGCAGGCCCTACAAGGACAGGTTAAGGGACCTGAACCTGTTCAGCCTCCACAAGAGAAGGCTGAGGGGGGATCTAGTGGCCATTTACAAACTAGTCAGAGGGGACCAGCAGGTACTGGGGGAATCCCTGTTCCCCCGAGCACTACCAGGAGTGACTAGAAATAACAGTCACAAGCTGGCAGAGGGTAGATTCAGACTAGACATCAGGAAGCGCTACTTCACTGTCAGGGTGGCTAGGATCTGGAACCAACTTTCAAGTGAAGCGGTGCTGGCTCCTACCCTGGGGGTCTTTAAGAGGAGGTTAGACAAACACCTCGCTGGGGCTGTTTGCCCCCAGTACTTTTTCCTGCCATGGCAGGGGGTCGGACTTGATGATCTGCTCAGGTCCCTTCCAACCCTACTAACTATGAAACTATGAAACTATGAAAATTACCTCTGACAAATCTCCATTTCTAACATGAATCTTGGCCATGCTTTCAAGCCAAGTCCTACGCAATTCAGGTGTGCTGGCATAGGAGTTTGCTAAGCTGTACTGTAGATCCACAAGCATCTCTGGGTCCTTCTCATGTTCCTTCATCTGAGCTGTCGCCATTAAAACTGTCCTGATGCGTTTGGTCAGGTCCTTTACTTCTGCTGGAAAGTTACTGTTCTTTGGAAAAATATGAACAATCAATCACTGAAAAGGTTCAAGCAGCTATACTTTTCTCAGGCAAACTCAGAGTATCACCCATGAATGGGCCAAACTCTAGTCCATATATTCTGGTACTAGTTGCAACACTGCAACATGGAGTAACTCTATTGAAGTCTGAAGCAGACTTATGCTAGTGTACCTGAAATGAAATCTGACCCTTTGCTTCTAAAGGGTTGGTAATTTAGGACTAGATTCTGAACCACTTAGAAATGCTGAATAATCTTTACTCCTCATGAAGCCTTATTCATTTTAAGTAGACAAGTACCACTCAATGTCAGCAGAAGTCCTTAGCCCATTCAAATCACACTGGTAAAAAAACATAGCCCTCATATTAACGCCATCAAAAAGTATTTCTCAAAAATACTTAAGTCAGTTTTCCTGTTTTTCATATAGAGTTGGTCATGAATAAGTCCTTCTTTTTAGGGGTTTTGTGGCTATTGCTGCTTTTGCACAGGTATAGAGAGAAACCATACAGAACAGTAAAATTCTGGCTTCCTTTTGGCTGATGGTTGAGAATGCTGAAAAAGTTGAATCTATGGTTGCAATGTCAGCACATCAAAGAAAATCAGTGGTACACTTTAAAAGAAAAAACAGGACTTCATCATTCTCACACTAATTTTGCACCAATGCTGCTATTAACTTCAGTGGACTTATTACTGACTTACACCTCTGTCAGTGAAAGCAGAATCAGATCCAAAGTATAAAGCTTAAAATGCTTCTTGAAAAGCATTTGATATGAACTTCTAAAAAATACCCATGTGGGGCTTTCAAACAGTTACAAGTCTGTTAATATATTCAGTAAAGGTGTTCCAATTACTTATTAAATAATCCTTATTGGCAGTTAAGCTCGCCATTTTAGGCTAGCACACTGTTGACAAATCAATTTACATTTCTGTGAGTCTGTTTGTTATATAACTATATTCTGAACCATGTGGATGAACCATTTTTTGCTTAAATATTTTTTGTCAACTATGATTTTGACTACTTATGATGCCTTATTAGTCCCATTCCATGATTTTTATTCTGTGACTGGATGAGTGGAACATTCTCAGAAGGAGAACAAAAAGTAATGAATAACATAGGATATAATTTTCCAATAAATTAATTCATCCTGAATTATTAAGCTTTTGAAATTCACAAACATTTTCATGACTTCCCAGTAGTTTTCTAAATACTTGTGAAATACATAATATCAAGTCATGAGTCACTGCAAAATGAAGTCATGCTTTCATCCATGAAGGTATTTGTAAATCAGTTCTTACTTAAATCACTTAAATATGTAAATCATATTCAGCCATCTGTAATAGCTGGGTGAGTGACATAAATGTTTCTTACTTTCATCTGCTTGTCTCCATTTGCAAAATTATTTATAATAGCAAGCGAATGCTGAAACCGAGACCCTCCAATCCCTGCATCTGCAATCAGCTGGCTTACAGCTTTGATGAGCTAGAGATGAAGAGAAAAAGAGAATCAAATAGGGTTATTTATCAAAAAAAGTGAAGTTTGGAAATCATGTTTAATCCCTGGTTTACATACGTCGATGAATGTGAGCAGTAGAGAGGGATTTACACAAGTATTTTATCAAGACAAAATATAGGAAAAAATGATATGAACATAAATTATAATAATTCCACATGTATTTATAATTGTTTAACTTTTAAAGTAGTGAGACCTGCCTCAGCAATGAAATACTCTAATTTTATGGTCACTGGTATGAGACTGAAGAGGTAAATTAGATTCATACTGTTTACAAGTGGGTCAGATTTTCTTTAAGATCTGGATCTGATATACACTGCCTGTGGTAAAACTTGACATAACTGGCCAGTTTATTGTCACCCCAAGAGAAGAGGCCATTTGTAGAATTCAAAGAGCTGTTTCAGTGGAATACTTCATAATAACCAATAAAGATTCTTTCAATTTCCCCTGACACTTTCCTTACCTGTAGATGGGATCTGACTATTGACTTCTGCTTGTTAAATTCAAAGTTCTTCCTCATGAAAAAATAAAGAAGAGCAGATGCCTCCGTCTGAGTTGATCGTGACCGATGGTTGCAGCACTTCAGAATTTCATAGCAGAATGATCCACACAGGTCTGCCTGCCCTTGAAAGAATGCAGATGGGAACTATAGGAAAGAGGTGTGAAAATGGTTAGTACTATCCTCAGATCTTACTGTGCTATGAGTCAATATATTGAGTGTCAAATTTTCATTTAAAACCAACTTCCTTTTCTCTCTCTCTCTCTCTTCATGCTCCAAGTACTCACATTGGTATTTAGCAAAAACATGTGCCACTAACCAAACGTACCCTTGTGAACTAAATGCAAATAAGAGAAACCTCTGGGTGCCAGTTTGTGCACACACACGGTTGGTTGTTTATAAAACGCAAGTCAAACTGTTCTTTGTGGAAGTGCACATAGCAGCAGGAGCACAGCGTCCTAAATGGATCAGACCCCAGTCTGAGTCAGACACCCGCATGAGTCAGACACCATGGTAAAAGACCAGCAAGAAGAAAGAAGTTTCAAACAACACATCATAGAAAGTCAGGATTGCACTTCTGAGCAATAATTTGAACAGTATTAGAAAGCAGGGATTAGAGGAATGTGAGGGCCCAAGTTGCTCTGTCATCTGGAAACTACTGATCATGGACAGAGTGAGTAGAGCAGAGAGAACAGAGTGCATTGCATAGATTCCTCTAGTTTGGCTAGCTCTAGATTCCTATAGAGATTGGTGCCCCTGAAAAAACCACAATAGAGATTAGTAATCCCAAACATTTGAAGAATACAGTGACCAGTGGCTACAGGATGGATGTATCCAATGATGTTAGATATTTGCTTTCCTGCCACTACTCAGTCTTGCTTGGCTCCTGGAAGTCTGGTGTGTAATTTAAAGCAGTCTGTGGCTTATTCTTCCCTTGGCCCTTGAGCTATGTAGCTGGGAAAACTGTGACTTCTTATTTTTACAACCCTCAGAGATGTTTTGGAAGAATGGCACATTGTCTAAAAGTTTTCTGGACTGTGTATTATACTCAAGGAGTCAGAGCACCCGGTTATAAGAACATAAGAATTGCCATTTACTGGGTCAGACCATAGGTCCATCTTCCCCAGTATCTCGTATCACACGGTGGCAGAGTGGATGCTGAAAGGGAGAATGAATTGGGTATGGCCAGGGTTTCTTCCCCTCTGCTCCTCCCCCCACTTACAGCACTTAAGGTCTAGGAAGTTCTAGTTCAGAGGCAATATCACTAACTCCCATACTCAATAGCTACTGGTGCCCCTTTCTTCCAGGAATGTGTCTAATTCCTTTTTTGAATCTAGCTAAACTGCCAGCTTCCACAACAATCTGCTGGCAATGAGTTCCACTTTAATTGCATATTGTGTGAAAAAGAACTTCCTTTTATTAGTTTTGAACTTACTACCTACTAGTTTCATTCTATGACCCCTAGTTCTTGTCTTGAGAGAGACAGTAAATAATACATGTCTATTTACTTATTTTGTAAACCTTTATTATGAACTCCCTCTAATGTCTCTTTTCTAAACTGAATAGGCTTTTAGCCTCTCTTCATATGAAAGCATTTTCATACCACTGACTATCCTTGTTGCCCTCCTCTAGACCTTCTTTAGTTCTTCTATATCCTTTTTGAGGTGTGGGGACCAGAACTGGGCATCATATTCAAAGTGTGGACTCACCATGGATGTAGAAAGGGGCATAACAAATTTGATCTTTTGTTTACAATTCCCTTCTTAATAATCCTGAACATTTTGTTTGCCTTTTTGATGGCTGCTGATCACTGAGCTGATGCTTTTAGTGAACTGGCCACAATGAATCTCAGATCTCTTTCCTGTGTGGTAGCAGATAATAAAGAACCCATCATAAAATAGGTATAATTTGGGTTATTTTTGCCAAGGTGCATCACTTCACACTTATCTACATTGAATTGCATCTGCCATTTAGTTGCCCATTCAATGAATTGTGCCAGATCCTTCTGTAGTTCCTCACAGTCCACCTTGGTCTTTATTACTTTGAATCATTTTGTGTCATTGGCAAATTTTGCCACTTCATTACTCACCCTCTTTTCCAGATCATTTATGAATTGTGTTAAACAGCACTGGTCCCAACACTGATCCCTGGGGGACCCTGCTGTTTACTTCTTTCCATCCTGAAAACTGGCCATTTATACTTACTTTTTTCTTTTATCTTTGAGCCAATATCTAATCCACAAGTGGATGTTTCCTATAATCCCACAATTACCTAATTTAAGAGCCTCTGATGGTGGACCCTGTGAAAGACTTTTTGGAAGTCCAACTGTACTATGGCAACTGGATCATCCTGATCCACCTGCTTATTGACACCCTCAAAGAACTCTAGTAAGCTGATGAGGCATGCTTTACTCTTGACAAAGCTGCATTGATTCCTTCCCAACAACCCGTGTTCATCCAAACCAAACAATTGTTTTTATTATTGTTTCACCAGTTTTCCAGGAAAAGAAGTTAGGCTTACTGGCTTGTAGTTCCCTGTGTCCACTCCAGAGCCTTTTTTACATATGGGAGTCACATTGGCAACTCTCCAGTCCTCTACTACCAAAGCTGTTTTTAGTGACAGGTTGCATGCTACAATTAGGAGTTCAGCTATTTCCAATCTGAGCTCCTTCAAGACCCTAGGATGAATGCCGTCAGGTCCTGGAGATATGCTCCTGTTTAGTTTATCAATTCCCACTACAACCTCAACTAGTGACATTTAAATTCAGGTCAGCTTCACTGGTTTGTCCCTTGAGAGCAGTGGATCTGGTAATGGGATTTCCCTAACATCTTCCACCATGAAGACAGATGCAAAGAATACAATTAATTTCTCAGCAATGGCCCTATCTATCATCCCCTTTTTACACCTTGATCATCCAAAGGCCCAACTGACTCCCTGGCAGGTATTTGGCTTCTAATACACTTAAACAAATTTTTATTGTTACCTTTTTGTCTCACTAGCAAGTTTCTCCTCAAATTCTCCCTTAGCTTTTCTTATTTCAGTTTTACATTTGCCTTGTCAGTGTTTATGCACTTTTTATATTTTTCTCATTAGGATCTGACTTTCACTTTTTGTAAGAAGCCTTTTTTCTACCTATTGGCTCTGCAACACTTCCATTAAACCATGCTGGCTTTCTTTTGATCCACTTTCCTTTGTTTTGTTTGTTTTGATTTGCTGTACATTATTTACTCTGTGCCTCCAATATGGAGCTTCATTTTGGTGTAGTCTCCCTTTTTACAATTAAAGGCTACTGTGGTAGATATTTTGTCTCCCCACCTATGTGGATGTCAAACCCAATTGCATCATGGTTACTACTGCTGAGTGGCTCAGCAACACTTATCATTTGCACCAAATCCTGTGCATTACTTAGGACTAGGTTAAAAATGACAGTGGGTGTAAGGGAGGGTGTGGGGTATGGGGACCCCCACAGACTCCCCCCCAGTGCAGAGTCCCTGACAGTGGCAGCAGCAGGTGGTGGATGCTCGGGGTGCTTTTGCCCCATGCAGGCACTGCTGTCCAGTGGTGTGCAACTCTGGTCAACGCTGTACATGGTGGCAAGAGGTGCAGCCAGGTCGGCCTGCCTCTAATCACATGGGGCTCCATGCAGTGTACATGCAGCTTCCGGCACTTGTGTGCCACTGGGGGGAGCCCTGCACGATGGAGCCAGCTGCCTTCCCTGACTCTTGCCGTGAAGGTCCCAGGACTCCGCTGGGAAGCAGGGGACAGGAGCAGGGCTCCCTCCACTTTTGGCAGAGTCCTGGGACCTAGATGGCGGGGGGGGGGGAGGGCAGCCGGCTCCATCGGACAGGGCTTCCCCTGGTGATGTGCGAATGCCAGGAGCTGCATGTACACTATGTGGAGTCTTGCATGATAGGGCTCCTTGTCACCACATGCAGCACTGGCCGGAGCCATGCACCATTGAGTGACAGTGCCTGCGTAGGCCATGAGTGTCCCGAGTGCCTGCCACCTGCTGCTGCCACTGCCTCTCACTGCCAGTGGTGGGGACTGTGTGCAAGAAGAAAGGCCATTTTGTGTGCTAGTGGGGAGTGTGTGGGGGGGGGTCCCCACAGCCCCCCCAACCTGCCTCACACCCCACAAACCCCACATACTTATACCCAGCCCCCCATACCCCCCACATATACACACTTCCCGCAACATATCTTATTGCCACCACACAGCCACATCCCCTCACAAACCCACCACACACCCCCACGCCCCACCATACACACACCCCCACCCACCCCAACCACACCCCAACACACAATATTCAAGAGTAAGACTTTATTTTTGAGTTATTATGCAATCACCTCTATGTACACTATGCAAACACAAATCATGACAAAAATATTTTTTATAATAAAATTAAAATATTGTTTGACTTTTAGTATATGATTTGTTTTTTTCTGGTTTCAAGATGGAAACTCTCCCCTCCCAAAAAGAATACTTCTGAAGGGCAAGGGGAGGGACTCCTGGTGTCAAAGGTCAAGCGTAAGAGGGTGGGAATTCTGGTCCCACGATGGTGACTAGGTTGTGCGGTACCTGTCAGGGGGTGGGGCTACCCTTGCAGCTCTTGAGAGTTCACCAAAACTCAGTAAGTGACCCTCCAGCCAAAATTATTGCCTGCCCGTGTTAGACTAACCCAGTCTGTCTGTGGATAGTCAAAGTCCCCCACCTTTACTGCACTTCCTGCTGTTGCAGCCTCTCTCAACTCCCTCAGCATTTCTAGCTCGCTGCTACTGTCTTTTTCTGTGGTTTGATAGTGTATCCTTAGACAGACTTTTTTCTATGACATCAATACCATTATTTACTGCTAAGCACTCTGGCTCCCCACACCTTTGATCTTAGACTTCCAGCATTACCATAAAAGCATGTGTACTTTTTATTGCTGTCTGGTTGGTTACTTCTGTGTGAACTTTTATTCATTAAAGGTATTTGTTTGTGCTTGTCTTCACCCTGTTTCTTACCCTTATTTTTTATACTTTCACCGCTATAGGGTGTGTTAATCTGAGCTGTGTGCTGTTCTGCACCTGTTGGCTTTTCCTCTGTATTTCTCTGCCACCATTTAAAATATATGTGCCAGCACATTTTGGTTCATATGGAGGCCATTCCTTCTGTATAGGCTCCCCCTGTTCCAAAAGGTTCCCCAGTTCCTAAAAAACCTAAACCCTGCCTCCCTACACCATTGTCTCAGCCACATTTTGAGACTCTAGAGCTCTGCCTGTCTACCTGGCCCTACCTGTGGCACTGGAAGCATTTCATAGAATGCTACCATAGAGGTCTTGGACTTGAACCTCCTACCTAACAGCCTAAATTTAGGACCATTTTGTTTAGCATAACAGAATGACAGCAGCCATCCTCTTATTTTTTGGCAATCTCTATATTGCATATTCCAGGTCATTATTATTTCTAACAGGGCTTTAATCTTAGCCTTTGAATCTGAGATTCCATTACAATTAGACCTTATTCCCAGTCACAGTAAACTAGATGCCCAACAGTGTTTCACAGTGCTCACACAATTATTGGACCTGTGAAATTGCCAGTAGTTACATATTTTCTTGGATTTTTTTTTCTAGTAAAAGTGGATTAATGAAAAACAAAATGTTAAAAACAATGGTTTTGTTGAGATTCCCATGAGACACAGCTTGAAGCCCTGCCTATATTCCTGGCATTTCATCTGGCGGACTGTGAGACATACTGGCCTTACTGGATCTGCTGTTGTGAAGCAGGCTCACCATACAACCTTTTGCTTTGGGACTGTTAGGCTGGAAGCCCTAGCTGATCCGGGAGCCTTGGAAACTGGGGAAATGATTTCTCCTCAGCACGAAATTTCAATTTTTAACTTTTTTTTCCAGAATACATTTAATTATTTTCTCAGAAAATCTGAATTTCCCACTTCCTATCATTTCTTGTAGGTATTAGTAGTTTTTTTTCCAACACTAAGCTCTAAATACCAATAAAACGAGATGACAAAAAACATGTTACAATATGCAGTCATTTCCTGCAAGTTGTATAGGCCAGAGCAGTCTGTGAACCTGATGAAACAGCTTTCAAGAGAAAAACCAGTTACCTTGCTCACAAACAGCCGTAAGGCAGCAAAGACATGCTTGAGGGCTACTGCAGACTGGTTGATTTGCAGAAAAAGGAGATAGGTATCAAAGACCTTTTTCATCAGTGCATTCTGACAATCAGATTGCTGGAGCTGTCTCTGAAAAGACAACACACAAACATTGTAACAGCTTTATTATACAATAAATAGAAAAAATATTCCTTGAGTTCTTGCACCAAGTCTGAGAGTCTGGGACTACACCAGTGCAAAAAAAAAGTGGGCAGATGAATAGCCCTCAAGTGGCATAACTCACTCACTTTTGTCGAATTACCCATGAAAGAATCAAATTATACCAGTGTAAGTATCTATCCATACTTAACTTTGGAGTGGCTATTTGCTCAAGGGAAACAAGCTATTATAGGGGTAGATCTACCTCTAAAGATCTACCCCTGCCACAAAGTAAGAAGGCACTATAACAACACCTATTGTGAGCATTTGCCCCAAGACAGTTACTTATCTGTTTGCTCCAGATCTTGGTGTAATTTACATTATGCATAAAATCAATTAGATTAAACTGTGTTATTGTGTGTCATCTGTCTAGGCTCCAGTGTCTCTAGTGTTTGCTCTGAAAGGGTTTGGTGGTTAGTATAATCAATGGGCTTGCAGTTACACTGGGAAACTGTTTCCTCTGCTTGTTCTTCCCACTTGCTGACCACGTCTAATGATTAGAAAAGGAAAGTATGAGGCACAACATCAAACTTTTGCTGGTGATTGGTACTTCCTAGTATTATGCCCTTGACTGAGTCACCTAGGCCAACATTTGCTAACTCAGTTTCCCGTAATTTGACACGTTATATACATGTGATATAAATGGTTTGCTACGCTGTCTGGGAGTCATGAGAACCTATGACTCCCAAAAACTTCACTAGAAGCTATAGGAAATGTAGGATACTTGGATACCCATGTTTGAAAAGCTTTGCCTTAAACTCTCTGTGCCTTGACTCCTCCATTTTTTAAAATGTGACTAATAAAAAACAGAACTTCGTAAAGGTATTTGAGATTTTCTAGTGATGGACTTGGGTCATCATTCTTTCTAGTCCTGCTTTGACAGGGAAGTATGGACTAACTTATGCAAATAACCTTAATGCCTGCTCCCCAAAAATAACTATATAAAGGAACAATTGGGCACTACACTATATATTTTTTATTTTTGGCATGTTCTCATGAGCAAATTAAGTTTCATGGAAACTTCTGCTTTTTCACTCCCAAACACATTTCAAGGAGAAATTGCAAAAACAAACATACCTGGTGGTTCTGAGTGAAGAGACCCAATAAGTCAAGAATGGTGACGCAAACCTCTGTGGCAATATTTGCTTCTGTGTCTACATAATGAGCAATGTCTGTTTCACTGGAGCCACCTACGGAAAAAGAAACAAGAAGAAAAAGGTAAAAATCCCCAAGTAAGTGTGGATAAAGATAATTTACCCATCAATCAGATCAAGATCTACCTCTACAATTCAGGATACAGAGTCTGTTCTAAATATGTCTGTAATCTAAGGGATATTGTTAACAGAGCATTGATGCTTGTTTGGGTTTTGTGTACTTCAATTTTATTTTGTTGCCAATATTAGTTTTTACTGAATATTGTTTCCGTGGTTTTGGTTTTCTTCATAAATGACAGGCAGCCTAGAAAGAGATATGCACAGTGAATTAGATAATATCATCATAGCTCCATGTGAAAATTGTAATGTTCTATAAACAAATATATACTTTGCAATATCCTGCCACGTAGTTCACTACCAATCTGGCTTGGCCCTGTCTGTTTAGCAATATATTTATCCACCAAGTCTGCTAAGGGCTATTTTGTAAGGTATGTTGGACTGTGTTTGTTGAAGGCATTAACACCAGCAATAGCTAATGAATGGATTCCCCCTGCGGAGGATAAGGGCAAGAGGATGGCTTACAAAGAGCATTCGATCTTCCTGGCACCAGCCGGCAGCACCAGCCCTTTTTGATCTGGCAGGCGGATCGGGGCCCACCTGCTGTGCCAGACTGATCCCGGGGGTGTGGGCCCCCGATCTGCCTCCTGGATCACAGGAGGCTGGTATTGTTGCTTGGGGCCAGCGGCAGGCAGGCCCGGGCAAATCAGCTCATGCGGGGACCTGCTACTGCTATGATCCCGGGGTGGGGGAGGGTCCCCGCATAAGCTGATTTGCCCCGGGCCCCACACCCTCCTTGGGCTGGCTCCAGTACAGGGTTCAGGGCATATCAGCTCGTGCGGGGACCGTCCCGTGCCCTGGGATTGGGGTGGCAGCAGGTCCCCGCATGAGCTGATTTGCTCTGGGCCTGCCTGCTGCTGGCCCCAGGTGGCAGCACTGGCCTCCTGTGATCTGGGAGGCAGATCAGGGGGCCTGTACCCCCAGAAACAGTCTGGCAGAGTCCCCGCAGCCCTCCTGGGGGTGCAGGCAGGCCCCGATCTGCCTGCTGGATGATAGGAGTTTGGTAATGCCAGCTGGGGCCAGCGGCAATACCAATCTTCCTGGTGCTGGGTGTGGGCTGTGCCCAGTGCCATCCCAGGTGGCAGGAGCAGCCTTCTGTGATCCGGCAGGCTGATCGGGGCCCCCCTGCATCCCTGGGAGGGCTGTGGGGCTCTGCCGACTCTTCCCAGGGCTGTGGGGGGGCCCGATCTGCGCAGCCCATGCCGGTAAGATCGGTCCTGCTGCTGGCCCCAGCCAGCAGCACCAGCCTCCTATCATCTGGCAGGCAGATCGGGAGCTCGCCCGCACCCCTGGGAGGGCTGCAGGGGCTGTGCCAGAGTCCTCCCAGGGGTGTGGGCTCTCAAATCTGCCTGCCGGATGCTAGCAGGCTGGTGCTGCCAGCTGGAGCCTGTGGCAGAACTGATCTTACTGGCACCGGGTGGGTGAAACCTCAAAACAGCAAAAGAGTTTTGACAGAACAAAATGGAACAGTGCTTTCGAAATGAAACAAAACTCAAAACACTGTTCCGTCGAAATGGAAGTCGAAGCAGAACAATGCTGTTTCACACAGCCCTACTGGACTCCCCTCTTTAAAGTTTCCTAACTCTCTTTCTTTGCATTCAGGGTGTACAAGCATCAGGAGTCCACAGCAGAAGATGGGGGAGCAGGGCCAATGAAAGAGAACTCACTGGGGCTTCTTCCCTGGCATAGCCATGCAATAACAGTCAAATAGCCTTTCCAATATGTATGTGAAGTATACGAGGTAGGAAATACTTGAATTTTACCACATACTTTAATTCTTTTCAGTGAGTTATAACAGTGTGGGGAAACAGAATACACATTTTTTAAAACAGGGCATCTGCTATGAGAGCTAAATATCAATATATTTTCTGCTGGATATGCAATTTAATTTTCACATTGTTAAATAGATACATTTAAAAAACCCACATTACTTGTAAAGTTAAATGCATACTAGAAATTTTAAGAGGAAAAAAAAAACTTAAAGGAAAATTGCTATGAAGACAGTACAGATTCTAATACATCTGTTTTCATAAAATATGATTTATACAGATCAAAGTAAGAGAGAAGAAGCAATATTCAAAACATTACTTCATTGCTGGTATGCATGTAAGTATGCATGTCATAGAGATGGCTGAAATATTTAGAATTTTGAAATATTTCTACAGGAAAAGGCACACCATATTCCTGGAACTGGTTTGGAAAATACTCCCCATTTCTAACACTTCTATTGCTTCAGTCAGAAGGCAGGAAACAGGTCCTCAGCTGGTGCAAGTTTCACTGAAGTCAATATTTATGGCACTTCGTATCAGCTAGATGTATTATGAATTCTAGCCAACATTTCAGATTTGGGTTCCTAAAGCCACTAAAGCCAAAGGGAACAGAGCAGCTCTGAAAAATCAAGCTGTGTATTTAGTTTTGTAAAAGAATGTTTTGGTGTTTACTTCCAGGTAGTGATGATAGAAAGTGTTAGCTCCCTTTCCTTACAGAGCTACAGGCCAGTTATTCACAGGCATATAAGCACTACTGCACCTAATATTCAGATTTTTAAATGAATTTAGGTTCTTGTCTCATCGATTTTAGTAGAAGCTGGCACTTAAATACGTTTAAAACCTTGGCTCTTAAGTTCTATGGTGATGGACTGTACAGAAAAGGTTATATTAGAGAGGGGGAGAGAGATAAATCCACATATTTCATTTACACTTACTTGCAATGGTATTCTCTATCATTTGCAGCAATTTGGGGTTGGAAAATGCATTTTTGCCACGGATTATTGGTAATGTTTGAGATCTGTGTTGTTTGTGGCCATCGTGACTTGAAGCAGAATGCATCCTGAAATTGAGAAGGCACCTTTTAAAAAAAATGTTGTCATGTCCCTATAGTTTTATCATGTCACTTCCTATAGTACTTTTCAATAACCATAAGGGAGACCAACTGATACAAATACTTTCAGTTAATGTATGTGGTGCATAAAGTCAATAAGGTGGGCATTGTCCAAGGAAATGTTCTGTGATTTCTTGAAATCAATAGGACTCATAGCAACATTTGCTTACCACTAAAATAAGTGAGCGATATGTGGAAATAAGCCTTTGGGAAAAAAGAAACTAGGTTTAATTCTATTTATGCAGAATACAGGGGAAAGGGAGAACTATTAAGACAACAGAGTACCTAAAGCAATGAGTATTGCTTTCTAAAAATGGAGACAAATGATTTCAGGACTGACAGTGACAGCAAAATGAACATGATTTTAGTTCTTGTTATGTTGATAAGCACAGTCAGATATTTTACTGATTAGAAGAGACTTAAAACTAAGGACAATATTTGGGAATCAAAATTGAGGCCTGTAAATTCACAGTATTTGGGCTGTAAAATAAAAATGGTCGCACTTTCAGAGGTACTGGGCACCTGCAAGCACCCTTGCACAGTGCTCTTGAAAGGACTACCAAGAAACACAGCTCACCTACCTACACTCTCTAGCACCCAGAAAGGAGGCAGTGAAGCCACCATGAACACATCCCCTTTCTTCACTCTCAAGATCTGTCTCTGGAGGTCTGGAGAGTGATGGCAGGAAGGGGGCACAGTCATGGTGATTTTCATGAATGCTCAAGAGCACCACGGAAGCTGCACAGATATCTCAAATTTGGGTCACTTTTATTTAACTGACTCAATAGCAAAGTAGACACCTAACTTGAAGCACCTAGGTTTGATACTTTTTCTCAAGAGCATGTCTTCCTTACACATTGTTATTTTCTCTGCTTGGATTAGAATATCCATGAGTTTGGACTTAAATGGCCCAGAAACAAATATCAGGAGCAAAGGCAGAAAGGTTTCTTCCAACCTTCTTCCCTCAGCTCTCCATGGCTCACCAAAAGGTAAAAAAGGGATTTATTACTTTAAAATGATAGGCTTCTTAAGAGACATAAACCTGAAGAAAACTGTCAAAGATTATAGCAACCCAAGTGCAGATCCTGTACTTCAGGCCTTCCCCAAAAATCCTCTACCATCCAACATTTACCCCATGAGTTCCTCCATCAAGCCCATAACTTCTGATTCAGGTACAGCACATCATTTAGAAAGTCAACCAATCTCAACTTAAGGACTTCAGTAAAGAGGTCTTTTCTGAAAACAGCTTCTGCAATAAATCGAACATTTATGTCTCATTTCTACTAAACTTAAACCACTCGGGTTCACTGGTTGTCATTTAATGATATTGAAAATTGTAGTTATTTATATTTATATTTTCAAAGGAGCTCAGCTCCCATTCAGGCACCAAAATCAATTGCCTGCCCTTTTCCCATTCAACATGATAAAATGTGTCTGTGTCAGAGTGGAAGCTGGTGGATGAAAATCTGATCCCAAGGGTTAGGTGCTGAGTATCTGAAAGTCTGATCCTGAGATCAGCTGAAAACTTGGCTCCTCATGCATATAATATATCATCATTCAGCAAAATTAATAAATACAGAAATATATGTGCAAGTTAGAACTTGAAGGTATTGTGGAAGTTAGAAGCTATGGGGCAGCATTAATATTTTCTCTCGAACTTTGGGTCTTTGCTTGCCTTTACAAATATTTTCATAGCCAAAAGGGATAGTTGCTGCCTTGGGAAGTGCAAATAGTAAAAGCTTCTATAGACAACTGAAATATGCCTCATTTGTGGTGGTGTTCTTTTTTGTGTCACCATGCTGGCTTGCCTATAAACATGCAGCAAAACAATTGCCTCCTAATGTACTAGCTCAAAGACCTCTTGGCCAGTACCAGATGTGAAAATGAGATTAGTTTTTTGGGGGTGGGGTTCTGATTGCTTTTTACTCAACTGTGCATAGCCCCAAAATTCTGCTTGGGTGAGTGTTTGAGGCAAATATTGCTAGCCTGTTAGAGATATTCCAATCATTTTTTTTCCTAAAGTGGCCAGATGATTATGTACTGCAGCTCACATTTTGCTTTTGGACTGAATCAAGAGGCCATAGGATAAAATCATTACACGCTGGTAAAAAAAAACCCTACAATACGATGATTATTGTGAAAAAAAAGACCAAGAAAGAAAGATTCAAAATAGCAAACAAAGAGACAATAATCAATGATTACACTACATAGCAGTGTGGTAGTAACAAGATGTGAGTGCAAGTGCTCAGTAATCTTGGCTTACATTGCAAGCCTCTCCTCTCGCTCCACCTTCTGGGCCCAGTACTGTTACTGGATCCATGAAAGTTGATTCTTAAATCAGCATAGAGCCCAAGTGACTTCCGATGGACTTTGTAAAGGCCTAAAGATCTAGTTAAATGGACTCACATGCAGGACTGAAGGCTTGAACTGTGAAGTCTCTGGGACAGAGACTTTATCTGTAAAGCACTGAATGTTCTTTGAAGAACACTGGACTGGCAATAACTAGACATACACTTTTATAACAGAGAGTGAGACCTAACCTTATTTCAGGTGAAGTAAAAAAAAAAAATATATATATATATATTTTAACAGGAAAGAAAAGCACTGTCTGCAGTTATCTGAAATAGGTACTACTGGCCCAGGGACTTCATTCATACTACTTGCCTGGGGACTTTACCACTCTCTGGCAGTGTAAGAGGACCCAGAATTGAAGTAAATGGAAATTAACCCCTTTGTTTATTCTGACTTTAATTTGGATTTGCTTTAAGATTTTAAAAGTCAATAATACAGTATATTATTACCATTGTGACAGGAGACCAGATGTCTGGCATGATGAGTTAGACCCCTTAAGTGTTCCATTATTCTGGGTGGCCTGAACAAATTTAAATGCAGCAGCAATTTTCCTGGTAAAAAAAAACAAACATTAAGTCTATTATGGTACGTGATGCTAATCTCCTCATGCCTGTGAGAAAAAAAAAGTGCCTGGTGAAACCTGATACAGAGTATGAATTAGTTAATATAGCAACTTTTGACTTTTATAAGGCAAATCACACATAGAAAAGTGTATTGTAGCATGAAAGTAGAAACAAAGTATTACAATATGGCCAAAGAAAAGTGCATGTTTCACTTTAGGCAGCTGGAAAAGTGATCCTACATTTTTCTGTAGAGTGATTTGAAGAAAATACTAGAGGGTAGGAGGATCTCTGTTTTTTATTCCTGGCAGAGCATTCATCAGGGCATGACAGAACCATTGCTTCCCAGGTATATGATGGCAAATGAAGGGATCTATTTGTTCTTATCTGGCATTTACACAAACCAAACAAAACAACATCAAGGTCAAGAAAACCTCCATATGATGTGTTATGTCAGTTTCCATAATTTATCAGTTTGCCTAGGTGAACTCACATGGCCAATCAGAATACATTCACAGGGAAAGAAAGAATGAATGACTGAACAAATGAAAGAACGAAAGAATGAACGAAAGAAATGATCTGTATGTCAGCCAGCGTATTTTGGAGTAAGGCTTTTAGGAAAAAATTGGCAGGTGTTCCTAATTTCATCCAAGAGTTAAGCCATAGTGTAATATGTAAAATACCACTGTAATTTATGTTGGATAATGAAAATAATTACCTTACTATATTGCGTTTTCCTAGATATCTAAAATTCTGCAGGCAAACTCTGAAAGACAAACAGGATATTTTCTATTATGCTAATAACAGTCTGTTATTTTTGTAAAAATTCTGAGTCTGGGTCACTTTAAGAAGACTTTAAGAAGACTCGTAATAAATCAAGCCTTTCAGAGAGAAATGGTACTTAGAGATACACTTAGAGATACACATAGAGAAATGAGTGGTTTTGAGAAGAAGGGTTACAGAATGGGAGACTTTCAATCCATGTCATCATACCTTCCCCCCAGGGTTGGGAATTCCTTCATGACTGGTGGATTAATCTGAGGGGATGGCAGGAGGACCATCTGTTCACTATCCTAGAGGAACATCTGAGGATAAGTAAAGGATGACCTGCCATATTCACTTTACCCATCTTTTACACTGCAGCTGCAAGGGAGTTGAGGTCTACTTACCAGCAAAGGACAGCTGGGCTAAGAGGGTCTGGGCTAAGAAGAAACCTGATGGATCGGCTTGTATCTATGCAACCTGAATGGCTATGAGCTCCACAGATGACACAAGATCTTTTGATTTTGGAAGGAGAGAAGAATTTCAATGTCATATGGAAGGACTGATATGAAGTTCTATGAAGTAATACTCTCCAAGTTTCATGTCCTCTTAATGGAAATAGTCAACATAAGGAATAATACAGTCTTTAACCATTAGCATGTTTTACACTAAATATTCATGGGTTTTTGTCTACATGGGAAAGTTACTGTGAAAGCTAGTGTGAAGTTAAAGTGAAAGACCTACTCCAAGCTATTTCCTCCTGTAGATAAACTCAAAGATATACCATGACAACAAGCAAAAAAAATGGAATGAACTTACTCTAAAATGCTGAAAAAGTCTGTTATCTCTGTGAGTGGAGCTCTCTGCCAATAGGAAATCAGTGTTTCTGGAAACAGACAGCAAAATATATTAATTTATCCAGTACTAGAAATCTAGATTCTTATTTAAAACCAAAAAAGGCTAAGAGAGATTGTTTCTGTTAACTTCAAGGGGTTTTGGATCAGGCTCGAAGAATTTTATAATAATGTATGTAAGGACGCAGGGATATTTTACCTTCTGAAATTGTTTTCATAATGTGAAGGAAACACATGAGAAGGCTTCTCGTTTCTGCTTGATCTAACTTGTCAAACCGCAAAGTTGATCCAATCAAAGATAAAGGTCTCACAATCTGTTGAATTGACAATACATAGGCTTGTTGAGTATAAAGATAAGCTGTTTAACTCTAATAATTGTTTGCAACCATTTATACATGTACCTTTTCACAGGTGTCAGTTCTCTCACTGTTTTTTTCATTGGTACTTGGGTTAGAGTCAAGACTTGCTAAGGAAGCTCTGGAGTCAGCATGGTTTGCTGCAGAGATAGCTATTGATGAAAAGGCTGTAAACGAAAGTCATAGCAAACATGCTAAAATGATGTGTATGGATACAAAACTAAGAATAGCAACAAAAAATAAAAAATGTTGTATGGCATACAGATTGACATTAGTGCTTTGACTTGTCAATCTCTGTAATGAAGCTATTGATGAACACTTAGGGGACTGAAAACATGCAACAAGTTGAAATAATATGATACAGACTGCTGTTATTCATGGCATTTAAAAACATATTACATTCTATTCTATGAGATTCAGATTCAAAAGTATGTTGAAAGACAGTAGGAAGACTGAGTTCAATGGCTTTGAACAGGTCTTGAGTGAAATAAACTAAGTAAATGGGGTTTCCAAGCCTCCAGTAGTTTTTGAAACAGTAAACGTGCTTGCCTAATTAAAAATCCACATGTACAATCATTTCTTCTAAGCATACATTTCTGAAGTGCCAAACATAGTTGAAAAGAAAGCAGTAACTGCCCACCCTAGGTTTTAGTATTCTAGGAGAATCTTTGTACTGTACATATTTTT